AAAAGGAAGATCATTTTTTTTGCAACACATCGCACCCTTAATAAGTCTGCTAATCTCTTAGCAGCATTATATTTCATAAGTGGTCGCTTGCTGAAAGAACCAAAACCCATAATACTCTACTACCGCCCATTCTTGTTCGCTTGCTTCTCCAGTTGTCTAGTGACTAGCTTGCTAATATCATCATACCACTCTTTAGCGTGCTGATTTTTCGTAATTAATGATGGCGTTATTAGCGTTCTTACGGCATCAAACATATGTCTTATCGTTATCACAATATCTACAGGTGGTTTTATTGCAGTCATTATCGTCTACTTTAAACTTTGTAGCCGCGAAATCGAGTTTTTGTATCTTAGTCAACCCTCGGTTCATCTTCAAACAACTATACTGTGACCCGCTTATAGCGTCATCATTGGTGAGTTCTTTGTACACTTTGGATGTTGATTGCACTTTCTTTGTGCTTGACTGCACATTAACAGAGCTCGCCGTGTCCTTTCCAGTCGGTGTGCTGCTGACTGTCTCTGTAGCTGCCCTTCCCTCAGGATCCTCACTAGTTGCCGCCATACTAATCTACAATCCTACGTACAATATATCTAACTATAGAAACGAAATATATTTACACTCTGATTACAGTACTAATTGATACATGCTAAATATATGATTTTAGTCACCATGTGAGCGAAAATAAGTTAAAATAAGAATATATCCCGTTTCTTAAAAAATTATATTATCGGGATCTGCTTATTTCTTATTAAGAACATAATCGGCCATGTTCCTGTTTTTTTAAATAAAAAATTTAACATTTCTTAAAGTCCGACTAAGTGCTACATTCTTCTTAAATTCCTAATTCCGAAATTTGATTTCCTTACGTAAATCTTAATTTTAAAAACTAGGAATGGACCTTAATACGTATTTCTTACGAAAATTACGGCTATTTTTTCTCTTATTTTTTTTTGTTAATACTGACATGGTAGCTCTGGTCCAGACTCCTCCGGATGCCAGACTTCCGTGAATCTGCGTCTCATTCTGCGAATCTTCGTCTCAACAGTGTGTTGGATTGTTGACTCATGACACCTTGGTGCACTTTATATCGTAAATTGGCCTCTTTTAGGAAGTTTATATGCCATAGCTTTCTTCTACAGATCATAAAAATCAGACAAATATTTAGAAGGCTATGGGCCTATGGCTATGAAGGCTATGCTATGCCTCATTTTTTTTTAACGTGTATTCTTAGAAGTAAGTGGACATTGCGTTTGGCGGTTGACTTTGCCACGTGTTTTAGAAAGTAGCCGATGATGAATCTAATGGCGCGGTTAATTGAACATATTAGAACCAACGTTAACGGCTTCATTCACTCAAGTCTTAACAGCACGCAAAGCGCTCAAACAAACTCTGTTTCCCTATCTTATTTCAAAAACACTTTTTCCTGCAATGCAATAGAACTGAAACAAGGTGACTTCGTGTCATACTTGATATAGGAGACAGCCCACCCCTTTCACCGTTTTGTGATATTCGCAGTTTGCACATCAGGAAGTGTACTGCTTTGGCGCAATGTCTTTTAGTCAACACGCACTCGACTATGATATGACGCACTAGGAATAGAAACGAAAGTGAGGGTCTCGGCAATAACAGACGCAAAGATACTCGCGATATGTTCTATTTGAACAGTAACATATTGTGTATACTGAAGACAGATCGGAGTTTTCAGGGCAGAATAGGTCATAACAATAAATTCGTACGTATTGTGTACCTACCTGTCGCGTTAGATGTGTCAGTTGTAAGCAAATAAGTACCCGCGCAAGAGGATTTTCCACCAGTCACTCTTTGTACCAAATACCAATTACCGGATTATTTTATATTCTTATCTAGTTGAACCTATGAATCATACTACTGCTATTTTATTTGCGCTACTAAGAGCACGCGCGACTTCTTATCGTCGACTTAGTTGCTGAAAATGTTGCCAGACTCCTCCAGCACTTTTCCGATCTTTTCAATGGCATTGTAGAATGCCGCTGTTCGGAAGTCCACGCCCTACAAAGTTAATGCAGTGTGATGATTTAACAGTCGTTCTCGTTCCATCAGCTTGAATGATTCTTCTCAAATTATAGATATACATACTTTCCATGTATAACTGCTGAGAAGTTGGTGTGAAGCGCTTGATTCATGCGCGTTTTTCCTTAATATCAGTATAGAAATACATAATACAGCGACAAGCATAATGTTAACAATTAAGAGTTAGATGCATAGGAGAGTATCTGTTCATCAATATGCATACTATTGAGAAGAATACAGAAATATAGAACTCAGCTTTATGTGTATACATACAACACGCCCAGCAGTGGTCTGCTATTCAAATTAGTACTACCACAGAAGACAAGTACGATATGCTACCCCAAAATTAAATATACCACAAGGCAATTTCAGTGTACACTTACAAGCTCCTTGGCGGTGACACGGGTCTCCATACAGGCGTTGTACATAGTATCCTCCAACCCAGAGTATACTATGTCCACCTCTTCGGCACCGTGTACTACCAGGCGTCTTTCCTGGTGGGACAGCTCTCGGTTAACGCTCTGCTCGACAAAGTTGAGGAGCGTGGACTTGCTGTGTTCCTCCCATTTCTTGTTCTGAGGTTGAGTTGTGCGGTTGAGCAGAGTGAACGATTGTTATTGGTTGACAATCAATCAACATTGGTTGTGATTGTGATTGCTTATGACATGCTTAAGGAGACCAAAAAGTAGGGTACAAATGACGATCAAATGTGCAGCATCTGTAAATGCTGAATCTCAGCGACTTGTGCAGATAGAAAGGTGTGCTTTATGGATGATAACAGCACATACCAAGCGACCGAATCGAACGTGGCTGAGATTCTTCAGCCATTCAAAGTATGAAACTGTCACACCGCCAGCATTCAACAGCAAATCGGGAATGATCACGACGCCGCGTTCCACAAGTTCGTAGTGTGCCTCTGTAATATACGAACGTCGCATTATCATGATAAGTCAAACTTAAGGTGTAAATAGTCGAGCACGATGAAATTGGCAAAGGCTGAGCACTCCTTTGGTATGAATGTGTATTGTAGGTGAAGCGATTGGGATATGTACCTCGTTCTACAACATAAGAGTACAAACACTGCACGCTCGCACCCAACCAAATAGACAGTAAACAGCAGCGTTAAAACTATTTCTATGTGTTACTATGCCAGGTATAGCTACACATACTCGGTGTCAAAGGTCCGTTAGCCGCCTCGGCGATAATTTTAGCTTTGATATTCTTAGCGTTTCCAGTATGGATGGACTTCTCCACTGCCGCAGGCACAAGCACATCGCACTCCATTTCTAGGATGGCGAGAGGGTCGGCGATGAACTCGCCGCTGTTGTAGCCTTTGAATGATCCATTGCTCTTGAAATAGGCTTGGCAGTGCTCGATATCCAGACCTTTTGCGTGAAGCAGATGGTAGCAGATATGTATGAGCAATCAAACGCAGGAGATGTATTGATCTTAACTTTGGACCTATCTCTAGACCTGCTTCCTGTCTAGTAAAAAGAAACACACTTGAAAAGTGTCCGAAATGACATACGATACACATCCTCCAGATGAGAAACTCGACATGCACATATGCAAACCCGTATTTCCAAGTCACGCGCACAGAACTACGGCGTTGTTTAGGCTCATGGCAGGATAGCTCCTAACATGGACTGTACTGCGACCTAGCTACTGTTTACCTTCAGGGTTGACGATACAAGAGTTGTACTCTCCAATACCGACGACCTTGCCGCCGGCCTTGGTGATGAAATGGGCTGCGTAGAATCCTACGTTTCCTAGACCTTGCACAATGACCTTCTTGCCTTTAAGCCCGCTCTGCGATTGAACAGGAAAGTATAAACTTATGTTACAACCAATTTGACACTTTTGTATTATATACAAACAATTTGACACTTCTGTATGTTTGCAGTTGAATAGACAGTAGTATTACAAGTTATGTTACAATCAATTACCGCAATTGTGTTAGATAGAAATCTTGTCCAGATCGAGAATGTGACGTATTCCCCACCGGTACCAACAAACTCTATACTTACCGTCAAACCAGTCTGATCCTGTACCTCCTCGTACTCCAGGAAGTCACGGATTCCGTAGTACACACCCAGGCCTGTGGCCTCAGTACGGCCTCTGACACCCCCCTGTGTGATAGGCTTACCGGTAACACACGCCACTGAGTTGACATCGCCACCGCTGAAGTGGTGGTACGTGTCTTTGATCCATGTCATCTCTCTGCCTCCGGTTCCCATGTCAGGGGCGGGCTGTGTAGGTAAACAGTTCATACTACTTAGTAACAACCGAATATGTGCGGTTAGACAGTACATACTATTTAAAAACTACGCATATTTTCAAAACTGTCTGCGGACGACAATGGCAATCCGTTTCGGACCACGACACTCTGCATCCAATATTTCAAATGACAAATCAGTGTTAAGTGGTCGCTCTGTTGCCATGCCAACCAAGGTCCAGCTCAGGTGTGAAAACATGGTTAGGAAAAGCGGATATATACAACCTACCACATCGATTCCCGGGCCGATGAAGTTCTTCTGGCACAGCTCCATAGTGTACCTTCGGGTGATCTGCTCCAACTCTTTCGCTGAATAGTTCTTCGGGTCTATGGCGATACCACCCTATGTGTACATGTGTTAGACAGGCGCGTGAGTATACGGGCTTACTGTACCGTTGCCAACCACTGAGCGATCCTTATGTGGCAAGTGACAGACACTATCCGAGTCGCGCATGCTCTGCATCATCGAGACTTGTATAACTTCAAACGAGAGAGAAAAGGAAGAAGCACTCCCCCACTCGGTTGTGCAGGTATAGACGGGCACATTGCGGGCAAAATCTATACTCAAAATCTATAATCACTATACTCAAAGGCCGCGAATAACAGTTCCAATACAACGTAGCAACACAGCACAAAACAACTTCACTTTATCACACGTATAGAGATGCGCTTGACTTACCTTGGCTCCTCCAAAGGGCACATCCACAACCGCACACTTGTAAGTCATGAGCGACGCCAACGCTTCAACTTCTTGCAGATCTACCGCAGTGGAGAAACGAATACCTCCCTTAACAGGCACACGGTGTCTGCTGTGGTGGGCTCGATAGCCGGTCACTATTTCGCACGTCTTGTCCTCACGCTATTGAGTGGTAAAGGTGAAGGAATGTGAGATTACAGACGCTGGAAAGATACAAGACATTATTAGTATCTATATATCTATATATATGAGTGCATATACATATACATATATATAAATGCATACACACATATATATATATAAATGCATATACATATATGCATATACATACATATATACATATATTACATCTACATATACATAATATAATATTATATATATATATATATATATATAATAATTATATATACATATATATATTTATTATATATATATAACTATTATTAATATACTTGTATCCATGTATAAACAACATATATATATATATACATTATACACATAATAATAATATATTATATATATATATATATATATATATTATAAACAAGTACATCATCGATGTGTTTCCAATATACATTTAAATTCACATTACATGACTGTCTCCAAAAGCTCATCGATATTGGAATCTCCTCCAAGTGTGCGCTTAAGTCTTTCCGACAACTTAAATGAAAGCATCGTAAGCAACAGTCCGTGTTAGAGAATACAATACAGCTGACGGTGAAACAACCCACATACAATAAGTGGGAAAGACGTCTTAATCACGGCGTCCGTCATTCTCATGTTCAAAATATCGTTCGGCGAAACATTCTTCTGAAGCCTCGCTCCATTGTCGAAGAATTCCTAAGGTAAAGATGGGTGCGATATTGTTAGCGAGCATACTCCGAAATACTTGATAGTGCTGACTACTGAAAAATCCTTGAATTATTGCAATGCGTACAAGTGCACGAATTGAGAAGTCGAACACAGTGCCGTATAGTAAATACCTTGAAGCACTCGAGGAAATTGGGTTCAGTGCTTTTCACCTCGGCGTATTTCTCCGTTAACGTCTGCGTGTACCGGCAGGAAGTGGTTCCGACAGCTACGTTAGCCTGTGAGGGCAACGCCCTGCTCGCAGCGCGAATGATTTGTGAACTCAACATGTTGTATGCAACACAGACACTTACAAAATATGGTTTGTTTTGACAAGAACCTCCCGTATATACATATACCAGTGCGGATTATTCCAAACCGACTTTCTGGTAATCAAGTAGTAAGCTATTGCGAGACGTGATGAGAAGCGTGACAAATTCCGTGATGGGGCGGCAGCGAGAGATGGCTACAAGCGTACTTTTACCAACACCGTGTTGCAGTACACACACAAAGAATGCTCAGTGTTTGTTGTATCTGTCGCTGATATGAGAGTTGCGCGCACTAGCTTATCGATCGAAATTCGGAACTTGTACCAAATGACTTCAATGTTGTAAATCTAACGTCAATCCGTTAAAAACGAGTCCGATTTAAAAAAGTGGAGCGCATACGCTTATATATAAATCGATTTATTTAGAAACTTTTGGAGACGTTTATACGGGTCAAAAGATTATAAAACGGGCGTATTAGGTAAAATATCATGACGTTTTGAACCTTATGGCTCAGAACATACACCCGTTATATATACGTTCAATCATATCAAAATAAAAGTTTTTACATTTTACTAAATTGTCATGCCCTGCTAGCCCACATTTGATTGGCAGTTAGTTCGACATCGCAGACGTAAATACGCGCAATATCAGTCCGTTAAATCGATCGATTTAAGTCGAACATTCCGCACAGGCAGCACAGTAGCTGCACACGTCTATAAACGTCAATTATGATTTTTGAGTTATATACGTTTTAATGTAAAACAGATGAACTATTTACTCACTCGAGGAGGTCACACCGTCACCCAGTTGGATAAGTAGAACTATTTATAGCAAAAACGTTTATAACCAACGCAAAACGAATAATTTTGAACCGTTCTATTTTTGTTTTTGGTTGTTGTTTTAAAAAAAAACGAGAAACGAACTGACGTATATTTATTTAGCACTTTTAGCACAAGTTGCTATTTTACTGAAAAATAAATACACTCCTTTTAAAATAACAGTAAATATTAAATGTCGTAAACATTTCGCGAAGTTAAACCATTGCTCCAGAATATGTCACAGTCATTGGTTAAAAAGTTTGTACGAGAGAGCATTGGCTAAAAATACCACCCACAAGACCCCAATAGACGGTCACCCATTGGTCCCACGGCGGTGCTCTCGAACTCGCCTAATCAATGTCGATGTGCCATCTCACAGTCTGCCACAACCACACGTGTGTTCGTCTATGCGATTGAGAGTTTCTGATCCTCCCCAGGCGCCGACGGGCAGACGCCATTGTATGCCAATATTCAATTATTCATTCTTGAATGGAGTCTGTCCTGGTTGTCTATGCGCATTTGATTGTGCTTTGGGGGAAGTCGTGGCGTTGCGTGGGAGCGGTGTGCCTACTTTGTGCCTCTTTGTGATGCCGTGTATTTTGGACATGATTCAACTGTACGGTATTTTTAAAATCAGTTTGACCTTGCGTATATGCTATATACGGACGTCAGAGCTGTAAATATGTATCACCAGTTCATCACTCTTGAAGGTTTGGTGGATGGGCAACAATAATATGCTGTCTAAGAACTTTGCATCAAACTACTGGGTAATATTGTAATATTATATCTTACCGATTAGCGTGAAAGAATAATGTATATTGTGTACAATGTATATTGTATGCCAGCAATCGAAGCATAGAGATTTTCTCTATTTCAGCTCACTGATTCAGAAAGTGATGGGAAATTAACTAAGCGAAGCAATACGTATCACTTAGAAAAATATATACATAATTTGTATCATGTACTGTGTGTCATTATGTGGATACGACGACCCACTGTATTCATCATGAAGGTTCGAGCCTCGGTATTCGTTTGTGTGCATAATCATGCATGAGAGAAACGAAAATCATTCCTCATCGCAAACTGCCAGAACTCGATCGCCCATAGCTTTCTAAATGAAAGAATGTTCTGTTTGTGTGCACGTATGCCATCAAAACCTAACAATGCACAGCTCTAGCCAGCTGTCTAGCGCACATACCATGACGACATGACCTCTGTTATAATTTAATAGTATTCATTAGGCTACGCATAGTTGCATACATCCATACATAATAACATACACGAACAAAATAAAAATGTGCATATAAGTGTATATTGTTGTTGGTCTTTTTCGTGTTTTTTAAAAACAAATTCCCCCATCTTTTTAGCACCGACAAGAGGACAACACTCTACGTCACAACCCAGTTAGTATCCAATGAATTCACAAGATAAACCAAAAGGATTGGTCGAAAAAGTGGGCGTTCAAGTATAAGTTCATTTCATTGGTTGAGAAAATGGGCGGTCGCAGGTTTCTGAATCTTCAATCAAATAAAAATAAAGCTTCTGAGCCTTCACATTTGACTTGGACAATCTGATTGTCAAATTCGGTATTGACAGCTCTCTGTTCAATACACTTCGCCTTCAACCTCCGTATTGGTGTGCGCATTCTAGTACTAGCACACTCTAGTACTAGTCCACTGGTAGGGCCGCATAACACGCCGCGACATTGTGAGGCATCAGAAGCATCTCTGAGCCTGTAGAGTGTTGTTTGTCGATTCTTGAGAGACACGCGGCCAAACGCTGCTTAAACGAGCAATCTAGCTCTAATCTCAGGGGTCAAACGCACCTTTGCCGAATCGCTGAATTGGGACAGAAGAAGGTGAGTGGTCGTATTATATAACCATTTGTTGATAGTATATATAACCATGGTGATGCTAAACTCACTTCTGCATAGTCCAATGCGCGCGTTCGAACAGAAAATGTCCCTGTTGGAGTGGAGCACAAACACCTGCATGTAGGGGTAGGAGTGCCAGCAATACTGCAGTTATATGCATCTTTCTTGTTCCAATACAGGACCTCAAGCTCGCCCTGTGACGGAAAATGCGCCGTGCATATCATGCTTCATTAGATAGTTGTAGTAGACTACATAAAGATTAGTTATGGACCTTCGCGTTCAACTCTTTTCGCGCTGCGCTTACGTGCCGGTGCATAACCAGGCGGATCTTGCTTTCGGATTTGTCATTTATAACACTGCAGAACTCTCGTGTGTGTTTTTTTTTGCGTTCTCAAGGGCCACAGATGCCACACGCATACGCTCGTGTAATCCAGAGTTGAAAGGTATATGTCTCTGGACGTATCAGCTATTGCGCCAGCTGCTTTGAATGATTTAGTCCGCTTCTGTAACCCCTATGTTGCATACAATCATAGTGTTTCCGCTATGTTTCCAGTCGACATCTGAAGTAAAAGTACACACAGATCTTCTCCGCATAGAAGTACTCACAAACATCACTACACGTAACCTCTTATTCTTCAATGTCCAGTACACCTACTCCGAGTGCGCCGAACCCACTCGCCTGCAGATACGAACCCAATAATTAACACTCTCCAACTAAGATGATACGTCTGCAACCCAGCCTTCCTTCCCGCGCCTTGAATGGGCTGCGATTGAATGGTTCCTCAAATCTCTCGCGACGAAGCATACGTTGGAAGGCTTCTGCGGCCACAGAATCCAATGCGGCAGATGCAGGTGTTGCCGAGGGTAGTGGTATGTGTTATGGTCAGTCGGCTGTCTTATAGTTCGAGTCCGTGTTCCACTGTTAGGAAGAAGTAGCGCTGTGTATATTATCCAGCCAGACACAAGGACGAGATTAGCATGTGGTAACTACACAGCGAATGCCTAGGCCATTGAAACACCGGTTGTATTAGATCCCGGTATATACGTATCTAGTCCCGGTATATATGTACCTGGTGAATAGCAGCTACATGGATAAATGTTCGTCAATATCCAACATGTGAGGAATGCTCGCCCTGACAAACTGTATCTCGATTAAAAGTGATTGGAGTCTACTTGACACGAACGGGTCACCAATCTCATCCGAGGTCACGCACACACTTATCCCTAGTCCGTTTTTCATGTGTTGTCCTAGTTTTTTTCTCATGTGCTGTTCCGATTTTTTTTCTCGTGTGTGGTCACGCTACTCAAATTCACCCATATTCACCCCCCCCTCCTTTCCTTTTCGTCCAGTTGCACGTGGCAAGTACGTATGGAAACTGGTGTGGAGTGAGGAAGAGCTGCCTCCGCCGTCACGAGATGAGTGGTATGGTCGCAGTGCTGGATCCAGCCTAGCAACCACCGGCGTTGCTAACTATGACACTGAGAAAGGTATGTCCCTTGCTTTAGCACGTCAGGTGTGCCGTGGTTAGTCAGTCTGCCCCTCGCCTGTAATGCTCAGTCAATCTAACTCTAATGAAACATGATCGCCGTTGCTTAGCAACGAGTTGTCAAGAGCGGCATCGTGGGCTTTATATTTTATCTTGTTAGTGTCGGGCAAACGCTCATCGTGCTGTAGTAGCGTATGGTGCCCTTTGTGGGTCACTCGTACGGCTTCAGAGTCTAACGTATCTGAAACCACACACTTGCCAATGTGTTTGTAATCACACCCGCTTATCAACACCTGTTAATTTCTATTGCAAATGCAGAACTTATTAACCTGCCGTACCTACGAGAGCAGAAGGCGAAAGACATCCAGCAAATTCCGGAGTTTCAGCAGAGTAATCTCTTTAAAACTCATCTGACCAACGGCACGTGTCAACTGCCATCGGTGGATAAGGGTCAGACTTTCGAGTCAGTGGTATGTAGATTCAGTTGATATTATATATCTATATACGTTCTATATACATATATATATATATATATATATATGTATGTATATATATATATATATATATATATATATATATATATATATATATATATATATATATATATATATATATATATTATATATATATACTAC